AGAAGTCTCCAGCCGGGTAGCCATGGCAGCCTGCAGCTCGGCGGCTGTGTAAAGTACTGGCTTGGGGAGTTTTAATTATCCCCGACGTGGGAGGCTTGCAGGAAGCTCAGCATGGCCACTCCGCACAGGAACCGGCAGCAGGGCGCTCGGCCCCCGCATGCGGCCCACAGGAAGCCAAGCCATCACAGGCAGCTCCTCCAGCCTCCATCTGAGCCAGCATAACGGTTCCCATGAATGCCCCAGCACTAACAGTGTGAGAAACAGGCCAATGCCACAGGCAGGGCACTTGACTAGTACCTGGCTGGCCCAGGTTCAATCCCAGTATCCTATACGGTCCCGAGTCGGCAGGAGCGTAGAGCCAGGAGGAAGCCCTGAGCATAGCCGGGTATGGCCCCCAAACCACGTTATTATCAGACGGCACGGCTGCCAGAACTAAAGAGAGGCAAGGCCAGCCTAAGGACCGAGACCGCTGCAGCGCACCACGGACCACTTCCGGAGTAAGGCACTTGCTCTGCAAGCAGCCAACCCGGGAGTGGTCCCTAGTCTTGCACTGGGTTCCCCAAGCACTGTCAGAAGTGACGCCTAAGCACACAGCCTCGAGACCGCACAACTGCTGGGTGTGGCCCCTCCCCTAAGAAAAAGGAAAAAATAAACCACGTCCCACGCCACACACACACACACACACACACACACACACAATAGAGAAAGGACAGAACAACTGTCCTGGCCAGTCCGTCTGCTTTCATGCACTGACCACCTCAGCGGCATCACAAGCTGTGAATGAGTAAAACGCTGGAGGGAAAATCCTGGGATTCTTTTTCTAGAGATGTGTTACATAGGGGCAAAGAAGATAAGCAATGGGGGAAAAAAAAACAAAGAAAATAGCAAAACTCAGAAAATAACAGCCTTGTTCCTTGTGCTGGAGGTAGGAATATGGCCACTGGTGCACCTGTTGGAGGAAAAGTGGAGTACCCCTGGGGGGAGAAGCCTGGAGACACCTTGGATTTCCCAGCGTGGCCAGGGAGACGGCTCGGGGCTGGAGTGCCCGTGTGGCATACAGGATGCCCCAAGTTCAATTCCTGGCACCACGTACAACTGACAGTCCTGGCGGCCCTCGGCAGTGCGGTTGAGGATGAACTGTCAGGTGCACCAGCTGAGTCATCTCGGGGAGAGGCCCTTGGGCAGCTGTGTTGAAGAGATTATTTATACATCCACGTTCATGGCACATTTATGCACAACAGCACAGGGGTGTTCACCTACAGTCCAGTAACGGTGCTGATAATGCTCCATGAACGGAAGTAGAGAAGCTTACCTGCTAGGGGGCAGAATCAAGTAAGCCCGGCTGTCAGCCGCGAGCACTCATTTGGGAAGATCAATCAGAAAGTAGGTGGCTGAGGAGGTGCACAGGTCTTCATGACACTGAAGAAAGCTCGGCTCCGCCAACGAACGTCAAGGTGTCCCCGACCCACGCTTCTCCCTCCTGAGCATTTTCTTTCCTCTGTTCCGTTTTTGGGCCACATTTGCATGCTCAGGCCTCACTCCTGGATCTGTCCTGGCAAGGTTCCAGGGACTCAGCAGCATCCTGCCTGCTGTTCTGTGTCATCTACCACCCTAAGATCGGTTATTTTTTTGTTTTGTGTTTTAGCCTTGACTGTATGGGCAGGTACGTCGTACAGTACATATAAATGCATATATTTATATTTTGGGGGAGATGCTCAGCAGTTACTCCTGGCTCTGCTCTCAGAAATTACTCCTGGCATTGCTCAGGGGACCATATGGAATGATGGCGACCAAACCCAGGTCGGCCACATGCACGGCAAATGCCCTCCCTGCTGTACTATCACTCCAGTCCCTATTTATATTTGTTACTTTATGTCCTCGCAGTCTTCATCCCTCCCACCCAAGCATGTGGGGGGGGGGGGGGGAGGGCAGCAGTGTCCTCTGTCTATCCAGTGTAAGGCGGTGATGGTCCAGCCCCTGACTAGAGGGCCATGCCACACCAGGGATTGACTTAGACTCTAATCTTGGAACATTCGAGCCATTTACCCGGCCCTTTTTAACATACTTTTTGTTTGGGGGCCACACCCGGCACTACTCAGCAATAGGGATCATCCCAGGCGGACCTGGGGAACCTTATGGGGTGCCGGGGATAGAACCCAGGTCAGCTGCGTGCAAGGTAAGTGCACCTCTTATTTGATTCTACCAGCAGGAAAGCTTCCTCTGCTCTTCCATGGAGCATCATCATTACGCATTGAACTGTTAAGCAGGTGACCGCTGGGGCAGCTTCTGCACCCTCCTCTGCTGTTGTGCATAAATGTGGCATGAACGTGGCTGTACCCGTTCTACCGCACCAGTCCACTTTACTGCTCTTTCAAAGAATCATTTAGGACTTGCAAGGGGTGGGGGGGGCAGGGGAAGCACATTTTCCGAGATTTCCAGCGGGGCCCGGGAAACGATGCAAACGTCCAGGGCCCCAGGCTCACTCTAGAAAAGCGTCCCGCACGTGCGAGAAGCCGACCTACTCCATCCAGCGCGGAGAGCTCCGGGGAGATGAGCAGTTTCCTGCGAGCGTCGGCATTTCCCGCGACGCCGCGGAGACTGAGCGGCCCGGGAGCGCAGAACCAGGGAAATTGAGCCCCGGGACACCCGCCGCACATTCGACAACCTTCCAACGCGCTTTCCGAGTCGCCGTTTATCTCGGGCGAAAAATAAATAAAATATTGAAGGGGGGCAAACAATGAAGGTTGATCTTCTTGGGAGAGGGCATCTGCCAACGCGCCAAACACGGCGCGAGTATTTTAAGACGGGAGCGGACGCCTGCCGTCGCCGCCGGACGAATCTGCGGCTCTCGACGCGCAGCTCGCGCGGCGCAGGAGCCCCGGCGCTCTCGGAGCCGGCGCCGGCGTGACGGGCGGAGGCGGCGCGAGCGTGTCACGGTGAGCGCGACCCCCGGGGCAGGACAGGGCGCGGCGCGGCCGGCTACGGGGCCCCGCGACTTCATCCCACGGCCGGGCCCCGCGGCTTCGCCCCTACGGCCGGGCCCCGCGCGGCCGCCATGTTGGAGCCTGGCAAAGAGCGGGCGCCCAGGGCGCTGTCGGGTCGGTCGGGGGAGCAGGGGGTATCGGCTGGGTCGGAGCGTCGTCGCCTGCCGCCTTGGTTTCACAAAGGGCAGAGGCCTCCGTCCCCGTCCGAACGAAAGCTCGGCGACCCGGGCCGAGGCCCCGCGAGGCTCCAGGGAGCTGCCACCGCGACTTCCGCCCCGGCTTCCGCGGCGCCTCTGCGCATGCGCGCCCACGTGCCCACCGGAGGCTTCTATTCCCTGGCGCGGCGCTGGGGGTGGTTGATCCTGCCCATCCACCGCCGCGAACTCTGAGGAGGGACTGGGCTCTTTAGATTTTTTCACTTTTGCTTTTTATTTTTTTATTTTTATTTTTTTGGCGTGGGGGTCACACCCAGCAATGCTCAGGGGTTACTCCTGGCTCTGCACTCAGGAATCACTCCTGCTGGTGCTGGGGGGACCATATGGGATGCTGGGGATGGAACCCTAGTCGACCACTTGCAAGGCAAACCCCCTCCCCGGTGTGTTGTCGCTCCAGCCCCTGTCTAGAGCTTTTACTTCCATGTAAAAACCCGTAACAAACACAGCAGAAAGCCCTAGTTAAGGCATTTAGTTATATTTTCTAGATGATTTGAATTTTGCCAAGGTAACACTGGGTTTTATGCACATTTCGTGTTCTGACTCAGTCAGGCGCACTTTCACTTGCTGTACTTTTGTCTTGAATGGTAAATTTCTTTGTTTGGTTCCATTCCCTACTGATGTCGGTGGGCGGGAGGGGAAGCCAGTCACTTTCTCCCCATCTGCCTCTGCCACCCGGGACCCAGGGTACTTGGGTTCTTGTCTCGCTCACAGAAAGGAATTTCAGGAGTAGACAAGCAGGGAAGTAAATAGATTTTATTTGAAGGTGTGGAGGGAGAGAGAGAGAGAGAGAGAGGTGCTCAAGAAAGACTGCGGGCTTCTCCAAGGGTGGAGAGAACCCCTAGACACATTCCAGCATTAGACACAAAAGCATTAGTACACATCTCAAGAGGGTAAATGGCTCTTCTTGGGTTCTCTTGATCCGGAAGATCTGGAGTGTTCCCGGGGCTGGATCACATTTTAATCAGATTAAGGGAGAGGTTGGAGGGTTTGAGGAACTTAATGAGGAGGGGTCCAACCTCCTCAGGGTCCGCTGAAGGTCTTATCAGGTCTGTTTTCTGTATCCACAGGGTGGATCAGTCTTAGGATTTTCCTCTCAGAAGTTCCCTGTCTACCTGCCTACATCACTACCATTCAACTCAGATATTAACCCATTATTGAAATACTGACTATAACAATCCAAAAAGAGGCTGGGGGCTGACTTCGTGGTTGAGCCCGGGTCCTGCCTGAGTGAGGCCCTGGGTTCCATTTGCAGCACCACATGCCCCCAGCACCGCCCTGCTCATTGCTGGCCTGGGTTAGACCCTTGGCGCCAAATATGGCCCCAGTACCGCCCCGAGTGACCCGGGAGCATAGAGCCGTGACTGAACCATGACCCCCACAGGGTGTGTGACTGATCCCGGGAAGAGAAAGGGGGTAAAGCCCTTGGCTCTCACCCCTGCAGGAGTACTGGGTAGCTTGGTGAAGTTTTGTAGCCACTTCCTCAACTGAAACCACAGTGATAGGCTGCCAGCTCTGGTGTTGTCCCAAGAGCCAGGGAGGCCAGTGCCTGGCAGTGCTCTGCACCTCCTAGTGTTCAGTTCGAGTTAGTCGCTTTTCCCATCCCTGTATCCTAGGGCGGTGGCAGGGAGAGGCCAGGGCGGGACCTTGTCTAATTAGTGCAGAGAGAAGGAAGCTCCAGGCAGAGCTGCTGGCTGTCCTGTGGGGGCGGTGCACACTCCAGGAGCTGTACCCCCCTTGAGCTGGATCTGCCGGTCCGACACCCTTGCCCGTGACATTCTTTCCTTGCTCCCTGTCTCCCCAGGATGGATGTCCTCAGTGAAGAGAGCGTGCCGTGCCTCAGTTTGTGTCCTGGCGTGGACAGGGAAGTATCTCCCATCCAAGGGTAGAAGCGGCCGGAGAGAGGTTGCCGTGCTGGGGGGACCTTGTGGTTCTCCTGCAGGAGTGCGGTGAGTGTGGGATCAAAGGCTTCCAACTGCTGGGGGGGGGGGGGCGGGCAGGGGGACTCTGCCCGCTGAGGGGCCTGGGAGGGGAGGGAATCCAGCGACTGTGTGCAAATCTGTGGCCTTTGGTTTTCTGGGCTTCTGTTTGTTTGGTTTCGGGCCACACCGGGCAGTGCTCAGGGATCAGTCCTGGCGGGGCTCGGGATCCTGCGCTGGCCACAGGGAGGACAGGAGTCTGGCCCGGACTAGCTCCACAGCCCAGGCCTGGCCTTTTCACTGGAGAATAAGTCTGCACACACTCGTTAAGCACGCCCCCCCCCCCCCCCTTCCCCAGCCGCCCCCTCTGTAACTCCGTTGAGGCTGGAAAGCCAGAGATCCTTGAGGGAAATCTGAGTAAACACTAGAAAGGGGCCCTGAGGAGCGGGGGTCACCAGACATGCCCTTGGCAGAACCCTGGGGGGGCTTTAGTTCATTCTTGGGGGCCTTTCCCAGCTGCCCTGGGGGGGCCACTTGGTGCTGGGCCCAGCCACGGGCACGGCTCCCTGGCCCAGAGCCCTGGCTTTTCCTAAAATTGTTCCTTAGGGAGCATGAGGGAGGGAGTGTGCGTGCCCACTCCCGCTGGGTGGCGCTAGGGGCACTGCGCAGTGCTTGGGGGTCGTTCCCGCCTGGGCGCCTTCATGCAGCGCCTACTCCAGCCTTGCCGTTGTTGGTTAGTGTTTGTGTTGGGGCCACGAGCAGCTGTCCAGCCGTCCTGGCGGTGCCTGGCATCAGCCCTGTGCCCGCCGGGCGCCTTCCCTCCAGCCTGGCTCTCCGGCCTGTTTCTTCAGTGTTCAAGAGCTGTGCCTGGCTCTGTGCTCGTGTGGGATCGCGGGGGGTCACGGACAGAGCTCAGCGCCCTGTGGCCCTGGGGCTTCGTCTATGACACGTTTCAGCATGAGCTCTGACGTGAAGGACACATGTCCTCCTCCTTCCGTGGTGTCCAAGATGCTGACGCAGGGGTCCCCGAGTACTGGCCTCGGCGGTTACTCCAGAGACACATGTGAATGAACGGTCCTAGGTCAGACGCTCCAACTCCCCATCCTGTGAGAGAGCGAATGACAGTGGCAGGATTGCTAGTTGTGCCCAGATTCCATTGCAGTGAATTCTCCTGCTGTGGCAGAGTGAGGAGGTGGGGGTCCTACACCCTGTAGGGCGCTTGACTTGCACTCAGCCCTTTCTAGTTTGAATCCCCCGACATGACATTGGGTTCCCTGAGCGCCATCAGGAGTGATCCCTGAGCACAGATCCAGGGTTGAGCCCTGAGCACTGCTGGATGGGACTCCAGTAAGTAAGTAAAGTAAAGGCCCTCCCGTTGATCGTCGATTTGCTCGAGCGGGCCCAGTAACGTCTCCATTGGAGACTTTGTTGTTACTGTGTCTGGCATATCGAATACTCTCGGTAGCTTGCCGGGCTCTCCGAGAGGGGCGGAGGAATCCGATAGCACAGCGGACTCCAGAGCCAACAAAAAAAAAAAAAAAAAGAAAAGGAAGTCCTTTATTGCTTAGGAACTTAAGGGCCAGCCTGCCCGGGCCTGGCGCCAGCGTTGCTCAGCTATAAAACACCCTGTGCCACATTTCCCTCATCTGAAGCGATGTAATGTGGACCACCGACGGCCACTCGCGCTGTGCCTTAGGCCTGCCTCAACCATTCAGGGTGGGAGCCCCAGGGAGACGGTTTAGGAGTGAGCGCCTGTGTGCCATGCAGAGGCCCAGTCGGCTCCCTCCGAGTGTGGGCCCCCAGCACTGCGTGCCCCTCCCACACACACACACTGGGTGGGGTGGGAGGGGCCACGTGACCGCCGCATTGGCGGCAGGGGCGGTCCTGAAGGCACTCACTGTCCCTGCATGTGATGCTGGTGTGGCCACACCCTTTCCAAGAAGTTCTGGAGTCCAGCTGTTTGGAGGTGGGGTGTCTCCCCAGCATTGCTAGGGCCCCAGGGGGCTGCTCCCACTGGCAGACGCTGCACCCCTCTGCATTCTCCCTGGCTCCCTGTGAACATTTCTGTCTTGGGAAGGTGAGTGGGCTGTGTGGCGGTCCTGTTGGTCAGTGGTTGTCCGTGGCTTCTCCCCAGGGTGCGGCTGGAACTCCTCCAGCCTTGGTCCTGCTTTTCTCGGCTCTGGGTGGGAGGCCCCTGCCTCCAAGCGCTCCCTGTCCTGCGGGGAGGGTGTCCGGGCGCCCCCCAGACTTTGACCTGGACGCTGTCTCTGTCCTCCCTAGACCATGAGCACCTGGATGCCCATCGCCAAGGAGTATGACCCACTGAAAGCCGGCAGCATCGATGGCACCGATGAAGACCCCCACGACCGCGCCATCTGGAGGGCCATGCTGGCGCGCTACGCCCCCAACAAGGGTGTCACTGGGGACCCGCTGCTCACCCTGTTTGTGGCGAGGCTGAACCTGCAGACGAAGGAGGAGAAGCTGAGGGAGGTGTTCTCCCGCTACGGCGACATCCGGCGACTGCGGCTGGTGAAGGACCTGGTGACCGGCTTCTCCAAGGGCTACGCCTTCATCGAGTACAAGGAGGAGCGTGCGCTGCTCAAGGCCTACCGCGACGCCGACGGCCTGGTCATCGACCAGCATGAGATCTTCGTGGACTACGAGCTGGAGCGGACCCTCCGGGGCTGGATCCCCCGGCGCCTGGGTGGAGGGCTGGGCGGCAAGAAGGAGTCCGGGCAGCTGCGGTTCGGGGGGCGCGATCGGCCCTTCCGGAAGCCCATCAACTTGCCCGTGGTGAAGAACGACGCGGGGAGAGAGGGCAAGAGGGAGCGGCGGGAGCGGTCTCGATCCCGGGACAGACACTGGGACGCCAGGGCGCGCGACCGCGGCCGGGAGAAGCGGTGGCAGGACAGGGAGCCAGCCCGGCCGCGGCCCGGCGGCGACTGGGAGCCAGACCGGGACTCGAGGGACGACAGGGCCAAGGGGAGGGAGAAAAGGGATCGGAGTAAGTAGGGCCCACCCCGTCACGCCCCCCTGGGTCTGCATCAGCCCTGCCACCCGCCTTGTTCCCCTACTGAGGTTGAGCCAAGAGTCCAATAAAACAGCAGCCATGCGGTCAGGAGCGAGCGCGTTTCCTGTTCGCTGGAGCCCAGGTTTGCGCTCCGCTTCCCCGACAGCTGCTCTGAAAATGGTTCTGCGGTCACTGGTGTCTGAGGGGCAAATGAGGAGCCCTCTTCTCACCGGCTCGGCAGAACAGAGTCCAGAGGGGCTCCTAGAACCCTTGGCAAAAGCTGTTGGAGGCTGGAGCGGTAGCACAGTGCAAGGGCGTTTGCCCTGCACACAGCTGACTTGAGTTCCATCCCCAGCACCCCATGTGGTCCCCAAGCCCCACCAGGAGTGATCCCTGAGTAGCTGCTGGGTTTGGCCCCCAAACAAATGAGGTGCTGACCTAGAGCCAGCAGCATCCATCTGCAGCTCCCAGGACCCCGGCTGGGTTCAGGTGTCTTCACTGTGAAGGGCTCAGTGGATTTTCTGGGGCAGGAAGGCAGATCCTGGAACCCCCTTCCTGAGCTTCCTGTCACAGCAGCCGGCTCCCTGGGGACACTCGCCCAGCAGCTGACTTCCTGGGGACACTCACCCTGTTCTTGTTTGAGTTTTGGGGATCAAACCCCTGGGCCTCAGACATGGGAAACACATCCCCCACCGCTCACTGTAGCCTGGCCACCAGCTCTGCCCACTTGCCACATGCACTGTCCACTGTCCTCCCGTTGTTCATCGATTTGCTCGAGCGGACACTAGTAACGTCTCCATTGTGAGACTTGTTACTGTTTTTGGCATATCGAATACATCATGGGGAGCTTGCCAGGTTCTGCCGGGCTCTCCAAGAGGGATGGAGGAATCAAACCCAGGCTGGCCATTGCAGGGCAAATGCCCTACCCACTGTGCTATCGTTCCGCCCTGCGTGCCACAGAACCTTTTCTATTTCAGGAAAGGCTAGCATTTACAAGGAAAATAAAAAGCCAGGCTCTGGCCTTGCTGGTCTGAGGCCCTGGGTTTGATACCCGGCCCTGCAGTGGTGGGGGGAGGCGCTCTGTCCCAGAATGATTCTCACTGTCCATAGGAGCCTGCGGGTAGGAGCAGCTGAGGAAGAATCTGCTCTTTCCCTGAGGGTTTTCAGCTGCGAAGTTGGCTGTCCCGGTCCTGCCAGCACTCTCTCTACTGTCCCCTCACCTGCTCCCGAGGGCCTCAGGCATAGCACCCAGTGTCAGGCTGGGCTGGCAGGCATGGCAGGGTCACCAGGAGCTCCCCTGAAGGCACAAGCCCGGGCACTGGGTGAGCTCCCAACAGAGGGGGTGATTAAGCCCAGAGGTGCTCCCACCTCACACCAGACACTCAGGAGAGGCCAGACTTGGCCACAGGAAGTGACTGTTCCGCCACTGGGTGAGCAGCTGCTCTGCCTCAGTGCTCCTGCCTGCAGGGCCAGGGCGCCTCAGGTGGGCGGTGGGGAACTGCAGGACACAAGCAGTAGCCACAGGGTGACTGCAGTGGCCACCCCAGCCCCCAGGTGTAAACAGAGTCCCAAGATGCCCGGGGCCGAGACTGTCAGCTGTGACGGGGAGTGGGGACAGCCTATGCATCTATTCAGAGCAAAGGACACAAGGAAGTCTGGACTCTCAGGTCATGGTTCCACCTTTATCCTCAAGTCCTGCGCTGGCAGCTGGTGTTGGGGGCTGGAGGGATAGCGCGGGGCAAAGGCCTTTGCCTTGCACGCAGCTGAGTTCCATCCCTGGCTCCCCATATGGCACCACAGTGGCTGCCCTGAGCAGACACGTAGGTGGCAGGGCCTAGAGTGGGGGGCAGTTCCTTGGCACGAACCTGGAAAAGAAACTGTGTGTCACCGTCCTGGGGCCGGGGCTGATGCTGTGCGTGTAGGAGCCCGGATCACCCCCAGACGTCGTCCTTCAGGAACAAACCTGGGACTGAGCAGACGTAGCCCCTGAGCATTGCCAAGGATGGTCAAACGCCCCACATGCAAAACAAAACAAAAACACCCCCAGAAGCATCGTTCCCTCTGATGTTCTTCAGCATTCGGGAAACCAAGTCTGAGTTGATTTCTCACAGTTTGGCTTTGGGGGCAGTGCTCAGTGATCACTCCTCGTGGGGCCCCAGGGAAGGAACTGGGGTCTCCACGTGCCCTCAAGCCTGAGCTGGTTCTCTAAAGCCACCTGCTGGCTCCTGGCATAGCCCCCCACGTGCCTGGGCTGCCACCAAAGCTCCGCCTGCTCCTCCCAGTCTGGCTCTCGGGCACAGAGTGACGGGCCAAAGTCCCCAACTCTCGGCTGCAGACGCACCCACCTTGCCCTCCCGCTGCCCCCTGCCCGCTTGCCACCCTGCATCCCCCAGGCCCCGGGGACCCCTCCCCAATCTGCTTGGTGACACTTGTCACCGCCTTCTCAGAAGGCACCTAACACAGCCCAGGCTAAAAGGAGAAAGGCCAGGGGGAAAAAAATCCACACGAGAAACATCCCTCTAAGTGTCAGCAACTTTGTTTGGTTAACACTGGCTAAATCACAGCCGATTCCAAGGCACTCCTTCCAACTGCCACAGCTCGAGTTCTCGGTGACAAGGTGTCACAAGACCCACCTCCAGCAGAGCCATCTCGGTGCTGGGGGGACAGACTGCTGGCTGTGGTGTCACTGCACTGTCCCTGCTGGGCCGCCAACCCAGGCCTGCCTGCCGAGTCTCGTGCATCCACTCACGTAAAACGCTGTCACCTTGCCAACTTCCTGAAGGTAACTCACGCCAGGTTACCACTCCCCTTCTCCCCCTTAAGTCTGACAAATGTGAAAATAAAAGCTCCACACGGAGAATGTCCTACAAAGCGAGCAGCAGTGCTAGTGCTGAGGGTATATTTGGCATCGAGAAGTTACTGCGTCACTGAAGTTACTGCGGAAGTCTGGCCTCAGCTCACTGTATTATTAAATAGATCTTCTAAGGGGCGGGTCATCTATTACAAACGGTGAGAGCCTGGGGCGTAGAGAAACGTTTCTTCGAGTTTGGCCTGTTTTCGGTGTGCGTCCCCACGGAGGCAGTTTTTCTGAGAGTCTGTCTGAGCACACAGGCGTGGGGCCGTGGTCACAGGTGCTGCAGGGCCTCCTGGCCTTGCTCCGTGTACCCGTCATCACGCTGCGAGCTGGCCCACTGGCCAAAGGACTCCGGGATGGGCATGCTTCTCTGCGTGTTCGCCATGCGCCTCTTGTCGCGGGAGAAGAAACTAAATCTTTCAGGAGGGAGAGAGAGAAATGAGTGTCTGCTCCGCTCTGCATCTGACACTTTCTGCAACGCCGGGACAGAGCAGCCAGCGAGGAGCAAACCAGTTCTGGGTGTGGGAAGGAAATGGAGCAGGTGGCAGTTACTCGTGAGCAGCGGAGGCTGGACACTGACATGGCGCCTGCGCAGAGCGAACAGGTGTGTGGTCCCAGGTGTGCAGTCACGTGTGGTCAGATGTGTGGTCCCAGATGCGCCATCACGTGTGTAGTCAGGTATGTGTGATCCCACGTGTGCGGTCACATGTCTGGTCAGATGTGTGGTCCCAGGTGCACCGTCACGTGTGTGGTCAGGTGTGTGTGATTCCACGTGAGCGGTCACATGTGTGGTAAGATGTGTAGTCCCAGGTGCACAGTCACATGTATGGTCAGGTTGTGTGTGGTCCCAGGTGTGCAGTCACGTGTGTGGTCCCAGGTGCGCCATCACATGTGTGGTCAGGTGTGTGTGATCCCACCTGTGTGGTCACATGTGTGGTCAGATGTGTGTGGTTCCATGTGTGATCCCAGGTGTGCAGTCACGTGTGGGGTCAGGTGTGTGTGGTTCCATGTGTGATCCCAGGTGTGCAGTTCACCTGTGTGGTCAGCTGTGTGTGGTCCCAGGTGTGCAGTCACGTGTGTGGTCAGATGTGTGGTCCCAGGTTTGCGGTCATATGTGTGGTCAGATATGTGGCCAGCTGTGTGTGGTCTCTGGTTTGTGGTCATGTGTGTCGTCCCAGGTGTAACATCTTCAGTGTTTCTCACACAACTACCTAAGATTTCTTCTCTTGACTAATGGGAATAAAAAGCTATGGGGCCTGGGGGCGGAGCAACAGGACAGCGGGGAGGGCGCTTGCCTTGCATGCAGCTGACCCGGGTTCGATCCCCAGCACCCTATATGGTTCCCCGTGCACCGTCAGGAGTGATCCCTGATCGCAGAGGCAGGAGTCAACCCTGAACAGAAAGCTACGGGCTGGGGGCTAGACTCAGTGGCAGAGACATGCCTAGCAGAGGGGAGGCCCTGCTGACCCCTAGCACCCCAGACCGAGCAGTGGACGTGGTGCTCGCAGTGCTGGCAGGACCCTCGGCTGGAGCCTCGGCACCAGAGCACCTGCCAGGTCTGCGAGAGGCCCCGGGCACTGCACACTCGGGCCCCAAACAAACTCAGACACCAGTAAAGGCTCCCAGAAGGGTCCCGGCCCCTTAACCTGACGATGCAGGAACCTCCAAATGAGTCTTTGGGTTTGGTTTTGGGCAAGGCCTGGTGAAGCCACGGCCACAGGCTGAACCGCCCCTGCACAGTCAAAGCCAAATCCCAGGCGACAAGCAGGTCAAGTGGCCACGGGCAGCATCGGGGGCAGCTGTGTCTGAGGCCTGGAGTGCCATCCCTCCAGGTAAAACAAGGCCTTCCTCAGGCAGAGCCGGGCCCAGCTTGGTGCTGCCATGGCAGCTAGCTAAGCCGGCCTTCCTGGCCTGGTGCTCGCCAGGTCCTCCCCGCCCCACTCCTGGGCAAAGACCCAGCTCTCTGGGGCAGATGTCTATGTCTGTGGCCCCCCGCCCCGCCCTTTCTGGGGGTATGTTGCAATCTTGGGGCGGGCATATCCTTCCACGGGGTTCCCTCCGTGGCCGTGCAGGGGTACACATCCCAGCTGACCCCGCGGGCTCAGAACAGGCAGTGCCAGAAACACGACAGCAACACGTCAGCGTGCGTGCAAGCCCCTTGCGGCTGATGGGCGCAGAGGGCCGCTTGGCACGCCCTATTGAGGGGTCGTGCACTTTGCTGCTTTCTGGTAACAGGCCCCCCTGGCTTGACACGACACGCGG